ATATATATATATATCTTAGCATTTACTTATCAATGCTTTGATATTGTTTAATTTTTTTGGTTGATAATCCTCTTTGATTTAATGGTATTCTTCTAATTTGAACATATTGGTTCATGTTCTTTTCCTTTTTGTTGATTTTGAGTTGAGCTATGATGATCTCCGGTCGTTTTTAAATTAAATTTTATGTTCAAATATTTATGGACTTTCTGTTTTTAGATATTCATTGTACTTGGTAGTAATTTAATAATATTTTTCTTTCAGATAAGTTTTGAGCTCATTTTCTTGATTTGAGCTTTCAGGTTTTTCAACTTTTTATTAAAATTCAACTGAATTTTTGGAATATTTATAATCTTCTAATTTTAAAATTTCATATTGTCTGGATGGAAATTTAATATTTATTTTTTTCTCTATTCATATCCTTCTTTTAATGTTGAAATTGTATCTTAGTTCACTATGGTAAACTGTTGTTCTTTCTCTGGCTTTTATTTGCTTTGTTATTTTTCAGATTGGAGTGCTCTTGCAAATCTTGGAGAGATTTGGCCATGATTAGCTCTTTGACTCTTTTTGTTCTCCTACTGATGTGTTGGATTCTTTTTTTGAATTACAATTGGTGACTATTCTTTACTGATATTCAGAGGTATTTGCATCTGCTACTTCTAGTTGAAGATGTGCTGGTGCTTGTTTTGTCGGTTTTCATTGAGCATATTCATTATTTAGAGGCATTTTCTCTACCGAATTATCTTCATATGGTTGGTGTTATGTTTGTCTTTTAGTTTATTTTGGCTATTTGTTGGATTTAGATTTTTAGGTTTGTTTAGTTTATTTTCTTGGTGTTATATTTCATGTCTTTGTTTGCTTGGTTGTTACTTTTCTTCTTTTTAATAAAGGTGGGCTTAACTCTCATTTTTTTCACATTATGTATGTGTGTGTGTGCGCATGCGCGTGCGCAAATGACCCGAATCATTAGTGTGACATATGGAGTAACTGCCTCGGGTCGAGGGTTCGAATCCCGTGGTGCGGGCCCTTCGAATCAGAAGCAAACACACAAGGTTTTCAACCCTTCGAGAGAAATGATATATGACAAAAAAAGATTTCAACTTTTTTTAATAAATATATATATATATATATAGTGTAAATCCCTTTATTTCTAAATAAGTATTTATTTATTTATTTTGAACTATTATCTTCTTCCACTTCCCAGTTCCCTCTTCCTCGTCCGCTCTGCATTTATCCTGCAAATGACGACTAATGGCGACACCGCGAGAGCTCGCAAAAAGAAGAAAAAAGAGATAACTTTTCCTTGCATTAAAAATGATCAATTTTCAAAAAACGCAATCCTGACGCTTATTTAATTCGATAAATCGAAAACGACCACAGATTTCAGTCTGCGATTGCTTCCGTTTCTTGAAAGCCGGCGAGTCTCACCGCTTCTTATACCAGTTTCTCCTCTTCCTCAAACGCTTCCAAAAGCATTTACCAGCCTCCACTACATCCAGGCACCCCGTGGGAGAGCATCTTCGATTTCCCTAGGGTTTGCTTCCTGCCATTTGGAGAAGGATGAAGAGATCGAAGAGCATGGAAGCCATTGCTGGGAGGAAATGGAGGTTATCTCACATCCTCTTCGCAATGGCTGCAGTTTATCTTCTCATCATCGGTTTCAAGTTCCACCACATACTAGAGCTCGCCGGTTTGATTAACGATGACCGGAATTTCAACGAAATTGATCGTCTTGTGGATCTTGACGGTGTCGCCGAAATCAGCCGGCCGGTCTTCATCTCCTCTTCGGACTCACTCCACCGCCGCCTCGACGACGGAAACCCTCCGCCGAAGCCCGGCGGGGATCCGATCGTTCTCCCAACGCACCACTTATTGCTGAAACGACGGCAGTGGGGTTGCAACAGCACTGAGTTGGAGAGGACGGCTCATGAAGCTTGGGCTTTAGGAATGAAAGCTTGGGAGGAAGTAAAGCATTACGAAGACAAAGGGGATTTGAAGCCACCTGCGTTGCTTGAAGGGAAGCAGGAGCCCTGCCCATCGTCTGTCTCCATGGGTAAAAGTGATATGGGAACCCAAGAGAGCTTAATGTTTCTTCCATGTGGACTTGAGGTGGGATCTTCCATCACTGTGATCGGTACTCCTCACAGAGCTCATGAGGAATATGTGCCTCATCTGGCAAAGTTGAAGCAGGGGAAAGGAGTAGCCATGGTGTCCCAGTTCATGGTTGAGCTGCAAGGACTGAAGGCTGTTGATGGAGAGGAGCCGCCCAAGATTCTGCACTTTAATCCGAGGCTGAAGGGTGATTGGAGCGGCAGAGCTGTCATTGAGCACAATACATGTTTCAGAAAGCAATGGGGGAAATCAATGCGGTGTGATGGAGTTGCTTCTGAGGATGATGATGATACAGGTATTTTAGTAATCCTGCAACTCAGATTTCCATTTTGTTTCTTGCTGTTATAAAGGTTGGTATGCTGATTTAGAACTGATTTTGCAAGTCCATGAATTTAAGTTTTCAAATGATACTAGCCGTTGGTTGAGTGTTTGTGTGAAGATGTGTTTTGATTGTTGTTTTCCTTCAGATTATACTCTGTGCAGTGTGCCTATCTTTTTTTTAGAGTCTTTGTGACACTTAGTTGTAGTTTATGATGAATTCATCACAATAAACCAAAATTATTAGAAAATAATGCACAATTTATGGTGGGGTTTGTTGGCTATAAGCTAAAGTGGGCTTGACCAGCATTTTTTATTTTTTTATTTTTTTATGTTTTTATTTTTCCCGTTCTATTAATGGATATTCTACTAGAAGGGATATGGAGTGGTCGGTACAACCAATGCTTCCAAGTGTATGGATATTTACTGAGATTCTTATCTAAATATATCATAGTGTCCTTGAGTAGTTTGTAAGAAAATTTGAAATTATTTCTTACCTGTTTATTTTATTTTGGTCATGTCTGTTTGATATATGCATGTGAAGCATTGATATCCTTTATAAGTTTAAATTGGAATTTGCATTTTTAATAGCATGGTAATAGAAAGCATTATTTTTGCCCATAACAAGAGCATTTGTGATTACGGGTGTAAATGAGCCAAGCTGGAGGGAACTGAACATGTGTTCGTGTTCAGCTCTTTTATGCTTTTTTATTTTTGAAATTGGCTCGTGTTCGAAATGGCTTGTGAATAGTCTGTTTTGTGTTTGGCTCGAAAAAATGTTTATTTTCATTTTCAGCTCGTGTTCAGCTCGAATTGGCTCGTTTAAATTAATTTAAAAAATAGATGTAGGTGGTTGAATTCGAACTTGCACCATTCCTATGCAATAAAAGATGCATAATCACATGACTACATAAGGTGTGGTGATTTAAACTTAAATAAAAATATATATTATATATTATTATATAAATAGTATATATAATTTTTTTTTATTTTGAGCTAAAACCAGCCGAACATGATCAAACAAAAGCCCGTTCGTGTCTTGCTCGTTTATAATTCAAGCATAAAAAAACTGTTCATGTTCCGTCTCGATTATTTAACGAATGATTCAAACATAAATTATTTAACAAGCTAGACACAAGTTGATCACTAACAAGAAATTTTTGCGGAAGTTCAAGAAATTTTTGTTGAATATTATGCTTTACACATAGGCGGAACTACAATGGGTGCATATGGTGGGCCCCTACTTCCATTGGCCCAGCTGAGTAAAATAAATTTATAATTTTCTTTTCTTTTATAAATAAAATCATAGACATCAATCCAACCTATGCCTTCCACCTAGTCCCCAAGCTGCAAGCAGTTGCTTTGTCATTTCTAGCTAGCTAGTACAGTACAGTGCTTCTTGTTCATATTCAACTGCAAATGTCAATTGAACTTCTTCATCATCATTATTACCCTCACAGATGAACATTGTCATATACAACAAAATAATCAAATTGATGTACATGATCTAATATTGTTCTGTGCAACATTGAACTTTAGCATTCTCCCACTTTATTCCCTTTAGGCTGCATTTTTATTTGAAGATATGGTTATTAGTTGAACTTGCCAATATACTTCTTAAATGACACCAACTTTAGAGTCATGGCTTTGATTAGCATGCAAAATAATTTCTAATAGTTTAGCAAATCTTATTATTGAAAGAAAATAGTTCAACTATTGGGTCAATGGTTCCGTGATTGATGAGTTTAATATCTTTAAAATATAATGTCAAAAGAAGTTAGCATGGTTTCATAGTGTGATTTTTAAAGTCATTAATTTGTGTCTCCACTAAAAAAAAGTTTCTCGCTCCACCCTCTGGCTATACATTAAATTATTTGAAGCTAATTGTAACCATATAACTTCTCAAAATTATTGTGAGTGGCATTGGAAATCTTGTTATTGCGTAATAAACCTCTATGTCTCTATTGAATTTGTTATGCCACGGGCAAGACTGGTCCAGGAAGGACCGATCGAATGCCTGCCAGCCGGCCCGCCCCCTTAAAAAAAAAACAGCCGAGCAATCCCTTGCAGCGGCAGAGGAAGGAAAGCAACGGGTGGGGCCTGCTAGGGTTATAATCACACTCAATGAGGAGAAATTGAGCGGAGTTTGGAGGGAAGTTAAAGAAGGAAATTTTTAAAATGTTGTTTGAGGATTCTCTTAATGAGGTAACCTAGGGTTAGTTTTCTTTTAGGCATATTTTGTTATGGCAGTTGTTTTCTTTTTTTCTTATGGTGTTCCTAGCGACATCTTGGGTGTGGGAGAGACGATCTACCTCTCGAATAGTAGATCAATTATGTATCTTGCTTGTTTTCTTTAGAATTTGTAAGAGCAACCCTTATTTGTGTTTCTTTCACCTATCTGTTGTCGTCTTATCGTGGTTTGTTCGCAGATTTTGGTATCGAGGTGTATCAAATTGGTATCAGAGCCTAGATCTTGGTGGGATGGCAATAAAGAAAGTTGATGTGCTAGAAGGGGAGGTTGGGCAAATTAGATCGGGATGGAAGAAAGGTTTGCCGTCATGGAAGACAAGTTTTCTTCCATTAAAATCCGAATGGAGGATGGATTTGAGAGCATAGGAGAAATGCGAGAGATGATGAAAAAACTGATAGTTATGCAATCCAAGGCTGTGCCGACTGCTCCAATTGCCAACCCCAACCAAGAGGTGATAAAGGAATCCTTATACAGGTCAAAAGAGAAGGAGATCGAGAGAGAAGACAATGAAGAAGACATCATCTACCTACAAGAGCATCCCTCTAGGACTCCGAGAGGAGAGGAGTGGAGGCTTCCAAGGGAGGGGGGATGGGCTGAAAATGGGAGGAGGAATGGTGTGAGGGGTATGAAAGAACACGATGGAGGAAGGAGGGAATCGAAAGTGTGGTATGCCTATGACCGGAGGAGGATGTTCCACCCTAGATACATGGGGGGAATTACCAGAGGAAGAGATGGTGGGGGTGGAGATGCAAGGGTTAGAAAGCTAAAAATGTTAATTTTTCGAAGGGGAGGATGCACATGGATGGGTGTATCGGGTGGAGCGATACTTTGCAATCAACCAGTTGACTGAGGAAGAGAAGATCATGACAGTGAGATTATGCTTGAAGGGGAAGGCTTTAGCGTGATTCCAGTGAATAGAGACAAGGTATCTGATGCACTTACGAGGGGAGTTTAAGGATTGCTTGTTGGAGCGTTTCTAAACTATTCAGAAAGGAGACCTGTACGAGCAGTTCTATGCTCCGACTCAGGAGAAGACGGTTATGGAATACCGAGAGAAGTTTGTGCTCTTGTCAAGGAGGTTGAGGGGGATTTCAACAGCAAGATTGGAAGGGAACTTCTTGAAAAACCTAAAGCACGACATAAGAGCAGCTATCCGCCTCTTGAGACTGCGAGACTTGAGGGAGATGATGGAGCTTGCCCAGATGATGGAGGACAAGAAAAAGGTGAAGAAGACCGACAAAGGCGGCAACACCGGAGTGTTCTATAAGAGCGGTGTGACAGCTACGCCACCAAGGACCCCGACTGTATCATTTCAGAAAGACGAGCAGAAGGAGAAGGGTACAAGACCCCACCCCGGGGGTAATTTCAAGCGTCTCATAGATGCAGAAGTGCGGGACAAAAAAGCCAAAGGATTGTATTATCATTGTGATGAAAAATACGCCCCAGGACACCGTTGCAAGGAGCGTGCCTTTCAGGTTCTTTTAGTTCAGGAGAAGGATGTAGAGAGTGAAGTGGATTGGAAGTCCTTGACGATGGAGTTCCAAGTGAAGGGAAGGAAGGTGGCGCTGAGAGGAGATGCTAGCTTATGCAAAACCATGGTGTTGCTCATGCTCAAAACCAAACCATGATCGAATCGATTTGGGAAACGAGACTGGGCTACTTGGTGCACAAGCACACTATTACATTGAAGGAGAGTGTTTCTCCTATCAGTGTCAGACCATACAATACCCCCAAATTCAAAAGAATGAGATATTGATTCAAGAGATGCTCGAGGTCGGGATAATCAGGCCCAGTTTGAGCCCGTTCTCCAATCCAGTCCTGTATGTGAAGAAAAAAAAGATAGTTGCAAATTCCGTGTAAACCACCGGACTTTGAACAAGAAAATAGTGTTGGACAAATTTCACATTCTTGTGATTGATGAGTTGTTAGATGAGCTATATGGGACAATCATTTTCTCAAAAATTGATCATGTCAGGGTACCACCAGATCGGGATGAATTCAACAAATGTGCACAAGACTGCATTCAAGACACATGAAAGATATTATGAGTTTTTTTTTCAACCTTATCTCCGGAAAATTATCCTGATTTTCTTTGATGATATTTTGATCTACAGTCGTACAGAGACATAGTATGTGGGGCACCTAAGGACAATTCTGAAAACGTTGAGGGAGCACCAGTTGTATGCTAACTTGAAGAAATGTTCTTTTGCGTTCTTTTGCACTTGCACAGTTACAGATGGAGTACCTATGACATGTGGTGACCACTGGGGTAACAGTGAATTATTCTAAGATCAAGGCTATGGTTAATATGCCCCTTACCAAAGAATTTGAAGGAGTTGAAAGGATTCTTGGGACTCACAAGCTATTGCTGAAAGTTCGTGAGAGCATATGGCACAATAGCATGGTCATTGACGGAGCAATTGAAGAAAGATAATTTCAATTGGGAGGAAACAACAACACAATCATTTGAACATCTATCATGACTAGCGTACTTGTATTAGCTTTTCCAGATTTCAATAAACTATTTGTGGTGGAGACAGATGCGTTAGGATACAGATTAGGAGCAGTGCTCATGCAGAATCAGCGGACGATTGCCTACTTAAGCTAGACCCTTACGACTAGAGCAAGGGTAAAGTCAATATATGAACAAGAATTGATGGCAATTGTCTTGGCCATTCAGAATTGGCGGGCCTACATATTTGGATGACAGTTTGTAGTCAGGACAGATCAGAGAAGTTTAAAGTATCTTCTGGAGCTGCGGATGATGGCTAAGGAGCATCAGAGATAGCTATGTAAGCTATTGGGCTATGATTTCGAGATTCAGTGCCAAACAGGATTGAAGAACAAGGCAGCTGACGCACTGTCAAGAAAGGTGGAGGAAGTCCAATTGATGGTCCTATCGGTACCCTTAGTTTTAAATTGGAAATCCTTGAGACTGGAGAACAAAAAGAATGAGGAGCTGAGGAAAATAAGAGTCGAGTTATACAAGAACAAAACATTCATCCAGGGTATGCATTAAAGATGACAACAACTGCTCAACTAGAGATGATTCGTGCTACCCAAGTCATCGGAGTATATTCCTAGATTATGACGAGTTTCATGGTAGTGTGATTGAGGGACACTCAGGAATGCAGAAGACCTACAGTCATCTAGCAACAGAGCTTTGTTGGGCAGGGATGCACAGAGAAGTGAAGAACATAGTGGCAAAATGTGATATGTGTCAGTGACACGAGTATTTAACCACGACATAAAGAAGGTTACTACAACAGTTAGCATTACCAGGAAAGGTTTGGGAAGAAGTGACGATGGTTTTTATCGAGGGGTTGCTCGGTCAGAAAGGTTCACAATGATCATGGTGGTCATAGATTGCCTAAGTATGCACATTTCATTCCTTTACGACATCCCTACACTGCGGTCTCAGTTGTGGCAGTGTTAATCCGGGAAGTGGTCTATTTTCATGGGGTGCCTGAATCAATTGTATTAGATAGGGACAATGTGTTCCTCAGCCACTTATGGAAAGAGCTATTGAGGTTGTAAGAGACAATCCTTAAAAAAAACACCACATATCATCCCTAGACTGACAGACTGAGATGGTCAATAAGAGTGTAGAGAAATATCTGTGTTTTTTTTTGTATATGATACACCGAAGTTATGAGCTAAGTGGATTGCATGGGTCGAATATTGGTACAATAATTTGTACCACACCGCAACACAGACCACCGCTTTCAAGATATTATATGGGCGAGATCCACCTTATTTAATATATTATAGGCATAGTATCACACCAGTATCCAGTGTCAATAAGTACTTGGAGGAGAGGAACATAATACCAGCAAAGCTCACGGGGTATTTACTGAGAGCTCAACAAATCATGAAGAGGAAAACAGATGAACATAGGAGAGGTGTAATTTAAACCAACAAACAGTCTATCTGAAGCAGAGACCCTACCGACATAAAACATTGGCCAGGAGAAGCGAGAAATTTTTACCAAGATACTTTGGTCCTTATGAGGTGATGACATGCATCGGGACAATGACCTACCGTTTGAGGTTACCACCATCGTTCGCACTACACCCGATTTTTCATGTATCACAGCTGAGATGTGTGATCAAAGATCATACATCCTTGTCAACAATGCCACCGACGTTGACGGAGGACTTGGAGGTGATTATGAAGCCGCTAGAGATAGAAGGAGTGCGCCGAGTAGGGAGAGCAAAGGAGAACTTGGTTAAGCGGAAATGATTGTCAGACTATGAAGCAATGTGGGAGTCTTACGAGGTGATCCACAAGCAATTTTCATCCTTCTACCTTGAGGACAAGGTACTTCTTTGGGAGGGAAGTATTTTTATGCCATGGGCAGGGCTGGTTCAATAGGAACCGGTCAAATGCCTCTCAACCGGCCCGCCCTGCCACGACCCGACCCGTGGCTTGGAGTTAACCAAGACGGGAAATAACAGTTGGACGATGGAAATAAATTCTCCATTATTTTAATTATAATACTAACAATTTAATATTCAAATAATACATGAAAAAAATAACTAAATAATGTAATAAAAATAAATAAGTAAAAATTTATACTTTTCCGTTTATTGTTCTTGTCTTTTATACAAATTTGTTCATCTTTTATTCATCTTGTTCAAATGTTTAAGACCTAAAATGATATTAAAACAACATAATGAATTATCTAAAGATAACTCAGGAGTAACGTCGCTTCTAGACTACATTAATCCAAGGAAAAAAATTTAATATGCATGTGAGTCTATAAGAAATCTTGTAATATGTTGGTCTTTAATATTTTTATAAGCAATCTGATATATGTTTAAGCATGTATCAATAATTTTATTCTAAATGAATATACACTAATCTTCTATATATTTTTATCTTAATTTTACTTTAACTTTATACTATTTACATATATTTTTGTCTCTGTGAGGATCACCGTCAACAAAACCTAACAAATTCTTGGTCGTCAGCTCCCGTCGACATAATAGTTAGTGATCTACACATCGCAATTGTCTAGAGTAGAAAGACCCTTAATTTCCCCTGTCCGTTATTATCCCATCAGCATAGCGGTTAACAATGTAATCATCACAATTGTCTGAGGATATAAGCTCTTGTCTACTCGCTACTGATCAATATTATCTTGTTGGCACAACGATTAACAATATAAACATCACACTTATTTAGGTAAGTAAGCTCTGGTTTACTCGCCATGACCGATATCATCCTATCGGCGCGATGATTAGTGAATTAACAATCACAATTGTCTGGAGTGGTAGAAAAACTTTACACGCGCTGATACACTGACGTCCATTGTCTATATCATTATGAGGTAAAATCTTCCTCTGAAAATGCACATATAAACATTTATATGTAAATTATTTCATTCTTCATACATACATTATTATGAACATTTTTATGCAATCTACAAACATGCATACTCACTCTTATTCTGTTGTACAATTATTATCATGTATTTCTCATATCATTCATATATTTATCTCATACATATTTACTCTTTTGTGCTTCTATTCATCATGCATGTATTTCTTATCATGTCTATCTTACACCATATATATCATACATATAGACATCACATACATATTTTTGTATACATGTCTTTCATATCTACCAATATGAATAATCTACTATAATATAAATCTCGCTGAACTGTAGCATATATGTAATCAACATACATTTTGAAATAAAGATGATTGCTAAAATTTATAAATGTAATTACTCGTCTCAGTTGTCACACGTAAGCCTTAATCTTCAATAGTTAGTTGGAGGTTAATGTAACTTTTATATTGAGCTCAATAATCTATAAAATATTGTATTCAACTTTAAGATTTAGTGATTTCCATAAATGCAATTATTCTTTTTAAATTTGCACAGGATTCAGTTACCTAAAGTTTACTGTGCCGTCTATGACAATCTTCTACACGTTTGTTTCTAAGTCGCCGTTTCAGGCAACCAATTTGAAATCTTAAAAGAATTAGGAATTCATAATATCTTAGGTCATTAGGTAATTTAGCTCAAAATATCATTAATTTGTTCAAATATAAAATAGAACTTAAAACGGTTTTCGTGGCGACACAACGGCCACTGGAAAGAAAAAACACAAAAAATGACAAACCTCAATTTGCTTCAGAGATCGTGCAAAAGAGATTCTCAGCAACAAAAATTACCCGAGCTCTAAACCGCATCCTGTGGCGTCCTCTGTGCCACTCGCCTCCCTGCTAGTTTGCGGCCCTTGTACTGTAGCAAGGGTCGCAGGCTCTGCATCTTCTGAGCTGCAGCAGCAGTCGCGTGAAGGAGGAGAATCGTAATCGCAATAGAGAGGAGGAAGGATTCGGGAGGAGAAATCGAAGCTCTGAACTAATTCGATCGCAAGGAATAAAAGAGGCGTTAAGCCGTGGGCCACAGTGTTGAGAATTAGGGAAATAATGAAGGTTAATAATTAAACTTATAATTTTAATAATTTATATCTCCCAAATCAATAATATTTTTCATATGATGCTTTATATCAAATTATACGATTTAACGTGTAGAATTTTATAAAATTATTTCGATTGAATTCCGAAGGATCCGAAAATTGAGATATATTTTAAGTTATTAATTTTTTTATCAAATTTCTCAAAAAATTTAGTTATTACACACCCCATCCATAGACGGGTTGATCCTCTTCACAAGAAGCAGCTAAGCGACACCATGCAGCGGCAAAGGGGTGGAGCCCGCTATCCATAATCAAATACTCAAGGAGGAGAAATTGAGGGGAGTTTGGAGGGAAGTTTAGAAGAAAAGTTTTCAAATGTTGTATGAGAATTCTCTTAAAGGAGGAACCTAGCATTTGTTTTATTTTAGGCATATTTTGTTGCGGCTGTTGTTTTCTTTCTTCTTGTGGTGTTTCTAGCGACGTCTAAGATATAGGAGAGACGATCTACCTCTTGAATAGTAGATCAACCTTGCAGCTTGCTTATTTTTCTTTGAATTTGTAAGAGCAGTTCTTGTTTGTGTTTCTTTTACCCCATCTATTGTCGTTTCATTGGGGTTTATTTGCTGATTTTGGTGCCAAGGCGTGTATGGGTTGTATTTTTGTGGATTAAGTTTTCTTCATTTCCTTCTTTCACTTGAATGTTCATATACATGTATTAATATAATATTTATGTTTCAGTTTTTTATAGTATCTACAAAGCTTTTTTTTGTCATTAGTTTTTAAACCGTGGATTCAAATTTTGTCAGCTAATTATCTACACTTCAGCTATAATTGCAGATACAACTTGGTTAAGCAACCCAACCATCTATTTGATGAAGATGCTTTGTTCTTCGGTCTAACCTCATAGCTTTGTGATTTATTTTTTTGAATCTTTTAAGAATTTTACAAATTAGACACAATGATATCGTAATCTTTATCTTTTTTATCTTCTAGCTAGCATTTGTTTGTCTAAAAATGTATGTTTTTTAATTATTTTTTGAACAGTTGATGGATTCATTAAATGTGAAAAATGGTTCCGTAGTGATGTCGTTGATTCAAAAGAATCCAAATCGACTTCTTGGTTGAAGAGATTCATCGGTCGAGCAAAGAAGCCAAAACTAACATGGCCTTATCCATTTGTAGAGGGCAGGTTGTTTGTCCTAACGTTTCAAGCTGCAGTGGAAGGATATCATGTCTATGTTGGCGGACGACACATAACTTCATTCCCATATAGGCCGGTACTATTTTTATTTATTTATTTATTTATTTACTAGCATAGTTTTCATGTGTTTGCTTTGTGTTATTTTGCAATTATTGAGAATTGCTAATTTGTTATTATGTTATTTTAGGGGTTTACTATTGAAGACACTGCCAGTATAGCTATCAAAGGAAATGTTGATGTACATTCAGTATTTGCTTCTTCTCTTCCCAGTTCCCACCCAAGTTTTTCTCGCCAGCAAGTTCTGGAACTCTCAGAATCATGGAAGTCTGGTCCTCTTCCAAAACAGCCCATTGTACTTTTTGTTGGCATTCTCTCTGCTGCCAATCATTTTGCTGAACGCATGGCTATTAGAAGAACATGGATGCAATATTCTGCTATCAAGTTATCAAATGTTGTCGCCCGTTTCTTTGTTGCACTGGTTAGTTTTTCTTAGCAAGAAATTGCGTGCGACTCAGCTTTCTAATTATTTTCAGTAGAACTTATTGTTGCATTTTTTTTTTCCTTAAAAATTGTTGAAAAATGCCCCATTACTCCGGTTGGTCATGTAATTATTTTATCATTAAGTGTAGGTCATATCATAACAATCATAATGGATGCTGAATTATTGCAATAAATTGTTGCAAACATTATGTAATTTATAAATTGACATGTTTGAATTCCATGACTTTGATGGTTTAGTTTTTGCAAATTGAGATGTTCAAATTCATTTACTCAGAAGAATTAGTTATCAGAAATTAAGCTTCCAATCTAGATGTGAGGATGAATTTAGTTTTAAGGTGCGTTTGGGGCGGCGGCGTGGTGTCGGACTACAATTTTTTCTTTTTGGCAAAAATGTGAATTGTCTATGTTCTAAAGAAACTGCAGCTGAAAGCTGTGTTTTCCCATCAGACTTGACTACCTGTGGTGGCTGCCAGAAAGTTATGGTCTGACTTTTTCAAAAAAAAAGTTTTATAATAGTCGTTGTGGCTTTTAAATAGCAGTTTCTTTATCTGCTTCACAGCTGTTTTTTCAAACAATTGCAGCCGCCTCAAACAGACCATTAAAACGATTATTCTATATTCTTAAGTAACTCCAGGTGAAACTAGTAGTGTAGATCGAAATTCTTCCCTTTATTATAATTATTATAAAAATATGGAGTGGTGTTCGACTCGATGCTATCCACTTTCTTTACCAGCATCGATCCAAAAATAGTATTGGTCGAGTAACATTGATGTTAAGTTAAGGTCTCTCTTTTTGAGGTATCATGGGTCCTAGCTTATTATTTACATTTCTTGTGACAACCTCCTTACTAGTAGTGCAATTGTTCTTTTGATCTGACAATGATGTCGTGAATCTAATGAAAATTTTAGTTATATGTTTCAGATATCTTGTTATTTGTTCTTTTGATCTTGATGATATTGTCGTGAAACTTCCGAGGGCCCTGAATGTAAGGTCGAAAATCTTAGTTATGCAATCATACTTTTTAGCTTTAATGTCTCTTTTGGCCAACTCCATCAATTCAACCTTTCTTTTTAGTTTTTTCAAGTTAAGATCTTGGTGGAGTTGAACTTTGCGGAGTCCGTGAATGAACGTTGCTTGAGCAAGAACTATTTTGAAGTCCCGCACATCCATTAGTTCAAAATGAAAATAAGTGACAAAATACTGGGGTGGCTCACTCAACCTTTGGTTATAAGCCTCAGGGTTCTTCAATGACTTCTAAGAACTAGTGAATTGAACTTATGTTGTTGTTTAAAGTTAGTGAAGGAGGTAATACTTCCTAGAGTATGATGATAAAGCCATCCTAGTAAATCACTTATTAAATACAGCGAAGATCAAGCATTTTTTCATTGCATTGCCAACAGTGAGAAGAGAAACTATCAATTCAAATTGAGCTAAATGATCAGCTGGATCAACTTGCCTTTATATGAATTAAAATCGACATCTTCAACTTTGGCAGTCGTTGAGACTCCATATTTTGGTATGGATCAACTTTGGCAGTCGTTGAGACTCCATATTTTGGTTTTACGTAGATTCTAACTTCTTTCCATGCAGTGTAAACAATTGTTATAACAGAGGTCTAAGGGATTACAGATGAAAGTTCAGAATCAGAGAGAGAGAGAGAGAGAGAGAGAGAGAGAGAGAACTCTCAATCAGATAATATAGATTATAAAAGTTTTTGAGCCTGAGTTTTGGGTACCTTACTAGAACTAAGAATTGAACGTAGAAATTTTGTTTTCTAGGCTTTCGAGATACCAAATTGAAATAGCGGCTGGTTATTAATGGATAGAATTCATAATCTGTCCGAATTGTTTGCATTTCTTAGTGTGGATTGGACATGACAGGAGATTTTGGCATGCAACTTAACCATAACAGCTCTTTTGGTATGCATTCTCTCTGAAAACTAAGAAAAATTATTACATACGGACTCCGGATGCATCCGGAGTCCAATGGTGGGCGTCACATGTCAAGTGGGCTCCATCGCTTTTAGCACTGGCCAATGTCAGTGCATTGCGGTGGGGCCCACTTGACACGTGGCGCCCCATCATTGGACTATGGACACAATTTACGTCAGCCTGGATGTTATATTTTCTCGAAAACTAAGTAGAAAAAAAGGGCAAACTATTCATCAAAATTTGAAATAAATCATGTTTATAACATGCTTTGTCTTCTACAGCCTGGTTTATTATACTTGTTGCATGCAGAAGATTGTGATGAGACATCAATACTAAATCCTATTAGCTTGATTACAGAGTCCAATGAAGGAAGTTAATGTGGTTTTGAAGAGAGAAGCAGAATATTTTGGAGATATCATAATATTGCCATTCATGGATCGTTATGAGCTAGTGGTGCTAAAAACTGTCGCAATTTGTGAGTTTGGGGTAAGGATGTTCCCTTTTTGATAATCAGCACTCTTCCTAGTATGATATGCGTATATTTTGCAGCTCTGGAATTTTTTGCTCCCTAGTTTTATTTTTTGCCTCTTCATCTCCCATCTCTTACAGGTAAAGAACTTGACTGCTGCTTACATTATGAAATGCGATGATGATACATTTGTACGGCTAGATGTTGTGCTGAGGGAGGTGCATAATGCTGCTGGCCAGAAATCCCTTTATATGGGTAATCTAAATATCTTCCACAGGCCCCTCAGGAATGGAAAATGGGCAGTAACATATGAGGTTAGTTGTTTGAACAAACACTCATCTGGCCATTAATGTTGTGTTTATAAACAATCATTAACTGGCCTACATTTTTGCAAGGGGGTTTTCAAACTGGGTTTGCGGGTCGGGTCTGGGTCTGGCATGAAATTGACAGTGCCCTAACTTGTTAGATCCGAATCAGAGCCAAATATTAAATGGGTCAGAAAATTCAACTCATTGACCCAAATTCGACCTAAATAACCATTTTAACATATGTTGTCGGTTATTTGGGTCAAATTCAGGTAAAATTTGAGTAAATTTTGAGTAGTAGTTTTGAGCTGACAAGTTAACCCAAACCTAACCCAAAAAATTAAACGGGCTAAAATTTATAGCCTGAACCGACCCGAAACTCATTCAAGTCAACATGAACATAAGTTTTTTTCAATCGAGTTCAAGTCGAGTTGGCTTATCGAGCAATGTTTAACACCGCTATTGTTTACATGAATCAAGTTCACATTGTTGGTTCCATCGGATGCAGGAATGGCCGGAGAAAGTTTATCCTCCATATGCCGATGGACCTGGTTACATAATATCGAGCGACATTGCAAAGTTTATTGTATCTAAGCACGCGAACCATACCTTGAGTGTAGGTTTGCTAACTATAAAATCATCAAATTTTTGAATATTAAAACATGTCCTAACGAAAAAATCAAATTGAATTTTGTTGGCTGGATGCAGATGTTCAAGATGGAAGATGTGAGCATGGGCATGTGGGTTGAGGAGTTCAATGCTTCCACCCCGGTCCGGTATTCCCACAACTGGAAGTTCTGCCAGTATGGCTGCATGGATGATTACTACACTTCACATTACCAATCTCCAAGGCAAATGATCTGCCTGTGGGATAAACTGGCGAGAGGCCGAGCTCGCTGCTGCAACTTTAGATGATGAATGCATTGTTCTTTTCCTAACCAATTTATTCAATTCTCACAGCATTTTTACACTTGTTTTTTTTTTATAAGATGGAAAGTTAAACTTTGTAAGTACTGTATAAAGCCTGAAAAGACCACCAATAGATGTGCAGTTCATTCTTAAAATAAATTGCATTTTTCATCCTGTACAGGAAAAGTTGACTAATTCACTCAGGATTCATTTGTTTGCTTGATAGTTAGAAATTACTTTGAAAAACTGGTTGATTTTGTTGTCATCAATTTGGTCATTAATCAAAATTATCAGTTTCATAGGATTTTAGAGTGTGGTGTTTGAAATCAAAGTTTTTGTGGTTTTTAAAGTTGCTTTTAGTTTTTAACATACAAATTCTATTATTTTTGTTATGAAATTTCATATAATATTAAAATCTATGGGCTTTGTTGTGAGAGCCAGATTATTTAATATCTTAAACTAAAGTCTTCTGGAAATTAACTGAAGATCATAATAAAGCAAAAAAGATAGAAGCTGAATTAGGAATTTTAGACAACATATGGAGAACTAACATGAGAAAGAGAATCAATTGGGCTTAGAAAATTTACTTTTTGATATTTTATTAAACTCTGACTGGAATCAAATCTAAAATGTTCTGAAATATGTTTGGATGGACGCTAAACACTACTTAAAACAGTCTGGATAGACAACTATTGATCTGTATGGGATTTTATCTGAACTCAAGTATCTCAAGAATGAACAGTAAGATAATAACTAGTTCTAGTCTAATTGGCACCAGGTGACAAAATTTACTTGAAAGAAAGAAAGCAAAAATTAACAAACATTATACCTCACTAATCATTTCTGAATGATTGATTTAATGCAATGTATGGAAGAACATTTCATTAAGGCAATGTTCATCAATTTTTTTTAAAAAAATGCCATTCGTCAAACAGGAGACGAGCTGCAATCTAAAATAACAAAAAATTATCGTTGTTGCAAAAAAACTTCAGAGGACATTCATCTCTGTTGTTTTCACCAGACAAAAATTTTTGCAGATGTCGGTATTCGCTCCTACCAAAGAAACTCACCACCTTCTCATTTGAAGCATAAGAATATTTTTGCGTTTTCAGCAACGGCAGGTCACTACGCAATCCTCAATTGCTTTACGTCTAAAAGGTAATGCTAATTTACCTTTTAGAGCCAGCAATCATTGAACATTCTCCTTTAAATATCGTCGTTCTGCATACTTTCAAACTACAAAGTGAATAATACGCTAAAAAATGTTTTATCTAATTTTAAAGCCAAAGTTTATTGTTCTAGCACATTTTAACAATAAAGATGCATAAAACAGAATATTTTATCTAATTTTAAAGCCAAAGTTTATTGTTCTACATATTCATTATAAACAGTACCAAACCATAAAATAAAGCTCAGCACAGTTCCCTAGTCCACAAGTGCTAACCTTTTTTTATAAAACACAAGAAAAAATCTGCTTTGTAAACATTGTAGGGTTCTTTGAATCATCAGTAATTCAGCTTGGCAGAACCTGCAAAGTTGAGGCAGCAATGGAGTCTAAAATCCAGGAGTTTGTCACAACTTTAGCTCCACAATCTTCAGCAAGAGCTATTGCTTCAGCTTTCCTGTGGTCTAAAACTTTTGCATTCTGATTTCTTCTGTTGTTCTCAGGAAGCTCAAGGCTGTACACAATGAAGGTCGTGTCGGAAGAATCATCCAATTGCTTCGTAAGTTCTCTTGAAATCGGCCTGCGCTGTAACACCTTTCCTCCTGCTTCTGTAATCAAATCCTGCAAATAGCCCTTGAAGGAAGCCACAAAGTCCCCAGAGAAATAGAAACAAAATCCACTGAAAAGCTTTGGCTCCTGACATCAAACCAGAGAATTTCATCAATATCTCAATAAGAATGAAAATTTGTGACCAGGGAACTTAATAAAGCCATAAAAGGTTTTTAACTGTTTTTCCATAACAAGCATGATGGAATGCTCTTGAATTCCTTTATGATGAAGCATCACAAGACTTTTTGGTTGAGTGGTATTACCTTTCTTCCTCAACACTCTGCTCAACACCGACTCAACAAAAAAAAAGAAGGATTTATATAAATACTACTGAATTCCTGAGTATTTACATCTAGGGCTGTAAATAAGTCGAGCCTGAACAAGTTCAGGTTGGGCTCATGTTCGGCTCATTCGAAATTGGCTCTTCTTCAAAATGACTCATGAAGAGTGTGTTCGTGTTTGGCTCGAAATTTACTCGTTAAAATATAAAATTATTATAATAATTAAATTTTCAAATAAAATTAAAATAATATTTTTTCTAAAAAACTGTTTGTATAAAAATTAATTAATTTTAAATTATAATATTTAATTTTATGAATATTTATGATGCATATATTTATTTATTTTTTAGCCAATTATAGCCAAATAAGAGCAAACAAACTTTTGTTCATGTTCTGCTCGTTTATATTTCGAGCTTAAAAATTTGTTCATATTTGACTCGTTAGGCTTAACAAAAGAGCCAAATATGAGTTGCTTAATAAGTCAAGCATAGATATTTGCGAACAAGCCAAATTTACAACCCTATTCACATCATTACTCTTATGGTGGAACCTGGTTAAAACAACTGTTCATGCCGCTTCCTAAATAACGGGTCCCGCCATTCTTTAATCGGTTTGCCAGGAGAAGATAAAAAGGCTCTCCAGCAGCAGTTATTGTTAATTGTTCCTTCACGGTTTTCCTGTTTGCAAGTGTGGCTTACGGAAAACAAAAAAAAAAAAAGTGGTTTTTCTTTCTTCATGTGGCTGTGTGCGTGAGACGCGAGAGCGAACTCCCTCCAGCGAACAGAAGCGGGGTTGTTTCTGCTGTGCCGAAGAAGACCGACGGGAAGGAGTTCCGAGCGATTCAACCAGGCAGCAATTGGCGGAACGGGAAGAAGAAACTGTATAGAGTTTCTGTCCTTGGCTTACGCAAGGGAACAGAAGAAGAATTTACAGGCATCCTTATTGATTAATTTTTCTTTTCTGATTTCTTCTGTTTTGGTTGGCTCTCAGGTAGAGAGTAGAGAAAGAAGAAAAAGAGAGATTTTTCTGAAGTGATCAAACGGTGTATCCTCTGCAACTCCTTGGATGTAGGTAATTTGCCAAATCATATAAATTTGTGTGTTCTTTTCTGGTGTAAATTTTCTAGTGTTATTTTATTCACTTAGTCGTTAATCATTTTAAATTTTCAACATATCACAACACTTGGTAATTTGTCAAATCATATAAATTTATGTGTTCTTTTCTGGTGTAAATTTTCTCGTGTTATTTTATTCACTTAGTAGTTAATCATTTTAAATTTTCAACATATCACAACACTTACCTATGCATTACAAGGTGCATTTCACTTTTTAAAATTTAAAATGGTTGTATTTTCCAAGTGACATCAGATATTTGGGTGGTATAGATGCAAAAAATTAAAGTTTAGGTGTTAGATATGTAAATACAAAGGAATTTTCTGGTATGTATCGAAATGCCACCCAATAAAAAGGTTTATAATGGAAGTCACCTTGTTAATAATCCTCATTCGTCCATTCCGTGGTCCATTGTGAATTCCGTGGACATCAACGGTGATTTCATATTTTTCTTCATCAACTGGTTTCATGAACTTCATGCAAGCTTTAATCCCTGAGCAATGGAAACATGTTAGAATTCAAAGCAAAATTCAAGTAACTTTTCAGCACCTATGCTTGTAATTTGATTTTGCCTTGCAACTTGGTGGAAATGCACTCACACTTAATGCTTAATATCCACTTTCCACAGAGAATACCCATCAGAAACTTTAAAGTTCTTTTGCATGATCCATTATCATCAGTTGATGCAATCACATGAGTAACCGCTGAACTCCACGCTTTTGATATAGATATGCCTGTCAACCTTGCAAACTCTGATAATATTTCCTGAATAAAGAAACAGGTAAAAACTTTCTGAAGTTAAAATTTTCTTTTTTCTTCGAACTCAGTTTTAGTAAATCAATTAATATCCTTTACCTTCTCAGCTCCAGAAAGGCCGGAGGAGCAAAGGACCCACTTGCAAGGCAATCCAGCAGGCCACGCCCACAAGCTATTCTTATCATTAGTCGTCTTGAGCTGTGTTTTTCTAGAAGTTACAGCCAATGGAAAAAGAGCTAAATATAAATTTATTAAGTCAGAAATAAATGTCTTAACTAGAGTAATTGTATCCATTATTGATCAAGCAGAATATATAACATTTTTTTCTAGAAAAAAAAGAGAGATATAGAAAAAACATACCCTTTTGATGCAGACGCTTTTATGCTCAGCTTTTGCAATTCAGACATCTCACTTGGCAATTTGGATGATGAATGCAAAGGACACAGCATCACAAAGTTTTCCTGTCGAGTTATGGCTTTACATAAGCTTTTGCAACTATAATATAATGAACATTTTGTTTTATGGTATGGAGCATTATGGTGTTAGATTTGGGGTTAAATTGGTCTTGTTAATGTTTGTACTTGAATAACACTTACATTATCCCACCTAAAAAATTAGCTAGAATATATTTTCTGTAATTTTTTTTTATCATGTATTGTCTCATCACTTACATAATCCCAGCGGCATTCTGGAGTCTGTTTAGCACAAGGGTAGTGGAAGCTTCGTCGACAGCTCTTCTCAAAGCATCCAAGAGCAGCTCCTTTGATGCCACAGCAGCTGCATGTGATCCTTCTACTTCTTGATAATTCCGTTGAGAGATTGATAACCAAATCTTCTTCGAAGTATACATCAGGAGCCCTTAAATGGAAGACAGATTCAGATTTTAATCAAAAAAGGAATTTTAATGTTCTGAGCACTAAGCATAAAAGCAACATGTTTTTTTTTTTCGTAGTATCGCGGACCATTCAGTGCAGTTCTTATGAGAATGAATAACATTAACTCCTCCATTATGATCCTCATCAACAGATTTCCCATCACAATAGTGCATCATTTCTCCAGAAACCTGCAAGTTCTAGACACCATCAAAGTAAACTAAGAAGAATAAAGGAGCTATAGCACCCAATATGTTTACAAGTAGCTACCTCTAAATCATTAGAAGAGTGACAGAAAGCGCATCTAATTGGGGAATGAATATTTTTGCATATTCTTGTAACTTCATTCATGGTAGGGTGAGGAAGTTCCTTGCTTCTTGATGAAAGACAACATTTCTGTAGATTCATACAAGTCTGAATGTCTGGCATAAGATTGTTTGTGGAAGAATGTTGTTTTTTGTGAGAAACCATTGATGATAAATCGTCAACATCTTGCATATGCGGCCTTCTCTGTTTACCTTTCCTTACAACACCCATCTGGATATTTTGATTTACTCTGGTTCTACAACCGTCATTCTGTTTACAAGATAATAACTGAAGCCTAGAATTTGCTTTCTCGATTTCATTATTTGTTGTTTTATCTTTACTAGGATTGCTCAGAATATTAGCATCAGCTTTTTTTAATTCAACACAATCTAAAGACAATCTCTTGATCAGTTTTGGTGATTTGAATGAAACTTTCTTGCTTCTTTTCTGGCCTTTTGTCATTACATCCACAACTTCCATCGACTTACCATGGCTTGCTAATGTCATAGACTCATCTTTAATCTCTTGGTTCTGGATTTCTTCGGCAGCTTTAGCAGGAAGCTGTTTATTCACTTCAGCACATCCATTGAATTCTTTCAACCGCCTTTTTACGCGGGCTTTGGGTTGAAGTAAATTGAATTTATGACTATTATAAACTTTCCTTTTGGATCTTAAAAGAGATATCTGTTTTGAAGGCTCTTTCTCCTGACTTGAGCCTTCAACTATTTCATTAGAGCCAAACTGATGATCTTCATTCAAGGAAATGGTAGCAGTTTCGTGAGTATATGCCTCCACTGTCTTTTCTTTATTTTGCTTGCGTCTCTTTTTTAATGTCCCTTTCTTCTTACATGTATTTCTTGTGGTTTTATTACGCTCATCAAGTTGACATGGCTTTGAACTCTCAAGATCTCTAGCATAGTTGTTATTGGCAGGGAATCTTTCTCCACATTTATCTTCCTGAAACCCGCTGAATCTTTTTCCTCCTGCTTTCTGCATTTCAATGAACAACAAGTAAATTTACTACTCTTAAAACAGTGAGCATAAAAAATGTGATGTTTGTCCCCCACCTCATAACTCAATCCTCTTATGTATAGCATGCAACATAAAATGTGTAAAAAATGTGTTGATTAATATGTGAAACACTACTCAAAATAAAGATTGTTATAGATATGACAACTAACTGCACCTGTTTCTTTGGTGGTGTTGAAAAGAGCTCAGGTGAGCAAGCCCTTTGAGTCCATTCAAACATTTCGCTATCAAAAGCTTCTTGAGCTGCAGCCTTGCTCTGTAATTGAAGATCACCAAAAGTAAGGACAAATTTGAAAAAGCTTGTATTTTTTTTATTTTAAGAGATTCAATTCTTACCATGGGGGTCAGTTTCTTAGGAGTACTGTCATCGTCAGAATCCTTGATATCACTAAAACATGGAACACTTTTGGGTGTTGTTAAACTGGTCATTTCTGGGGTAATTGTCCTTTCTAAACCTTCATCCTCATCATTTGCTTCTCTCAACCAAAAGAATGGTTGTAACGTAGAATCTTCCAGCCCTTTGTAAGCTAGATCATTGGTATCCTGTAACTCAATTATATTTGTATCTTCATTGGTTGAAACTACCAACTTATTGGCCCTTTTTTGTGATATTGGAGTTTCAGAAATGGGGTATGGTGTCACGTGTATTCTTTTATTGGATGAAAAGGAAGGCCTGGTTGGCGGGCATGGATTAGAAGTTATAGAATCAACCTTCTCCATTGTCTTTCTCTTTCCTCTAGATAACCTCTTACCCTTAGAACTTGATTGCGACATCATAGTACTCTCTAATGCATTAGTTTTTTTATAATCAGCTACTTGAGAAGGCTTCTCTGGCAAAAAAAATGTAGAGGCAGATGTTTAAGTGATATGCACATATTTTTATAACTGAAGGAATGAAAAAAAAAAGGGAATGATTGAAGCCGTGAGTAAAATTATACATGAACTAATACACAAATAAGAAGGCATAAAAGCATACACAGGTAGTTGCTGGTGCATAAATAACATTTTCTTCATTCTCTCAATAGCTGATTATGAGAGAGAATCGACTAAAAAAAAGGATAGAATGTTACCAGCATTTTTGGGAGGGGATACTTGCGATGTGGATATATTAAATCCTGAAGCAGCTTCCATGCTTTTGTAGATGCTTACTAAGTTATCCATATGCGGAGCAGGTCGGACCTCTGAAATAATTAAAGAAAGCATATGTTAGTACAAGCAAGCTCCAACTTCATGAAAAGAGGCATCATCAGCTTCACTGGCATTGGAATATCTATATATCTATATATATATCTATATAAATATATATATATATATCATATGATTCAATAGGATGTACTTTTTCTTCAAAATAAGTTCCTTTCAAGTGAAACAAATTTGGAGGATACCGTAGAGAACAATAAGGTAAAAAAACTTATGATACAAGAGAAGTCCTTTAAAAAAACTTTAAATTTGAACAAGCACTACAAATATTAAGCCCTCCAATGACGAAAAAAGGAAATTGTGGGAAAATTGGTGTAGTTTGGCTAGCATCAATCTTTGTGGATTCACCGATCAACAAGGACTTCTTCAAAATAAGCTGCTTTCAAGTGAAACAAATTTGGAGGATACCGTGGAGAGCAGTAAGGTAAAAAACTTATGATACAAAAGAAACCCTTTAAAAAAATTTTAGATTTGAACGAGTACTACAAATGTTAAGCCCGCCAATGTTGAAAAAAAGAAATTGTGGGGAAATTGGGGATGGCTAGCATCAATCTTTGTGGATTCAATATCCACGGCTGACCAACAAGAATCACTAATGAATAGCTTGAGATAAAGTTTCTAAACAAGCTTGATATCAAATGGAAAAAAATCACATATATTTAAGGATGCAAATAAGTCGAGTCAAGTTTGAACATAAATTAAAGCTAGCTCACAATCCAATTTATATTATAATGCTACATAGACTATGAATAGCCATTTGAAAATATTAGGGGAGTTAGAGGGGAGAAAAATAATTTATAAATTATTTTCATAATTTTGTAATTAAACATTCACATTCTAATATTTTATAATGGAATATATATTAATATGTTTAAATGAGCGAGTTAGCTCAAACTTAACATGTTAGTTCATTAAACTGAACTCATGAACTATATGAAGTCAAATTAAGAAGACTCAAAATGATTATACCCTTATCAATACTTTCATTCTAACAATATCTCAATGGTTGATCAATTGCATATAGTCTAAACCCCATGTTAGAGAAACATTTTCTAGATTTAAAAATAAGAAAGCCATACTGGAGATAAAAATTGCATAAACTGCAGACTCTAAACAGTAGTAATATGATTTAACATAGAATGCAAAAAAGTTGAATACATTCAGCTTTTAATCTTTCATTTCACAAGTTAATTAAAAGACAAAAATAGGTGAAAAAAAGTCATACCAACAATTTTTTCATCCTTTCATAAAACCGTTGAGTAAAAGATAGAAGAATAAAAATTTCTACAAATCTAACAAATATTTGTAAATCATTTAAGGATAATAGTAGATGTACCTTATGCTTTCCATAGCAAGAACAACGTGTTTAAATTTGTGTTGCATGAAATTTGGCCTGGTTTTGACACTATGTAGATCACATATGCCTAGAAAATACTTCATGTGCATTTAATATGTTGTTGCATATTTTGTTTCCTATTCCAATTCCATGTCATATGCTTTACCATTAATGATCATTGAAGATATAATAAGACTATCATACTAAGTTTCCCATTTTCAGAACCATCTAAGTATTAAGAAGTATATAAAACTTGTGACAAGTACATAAAAAGGCACAATGTGAAAAGATGTCTGATGTACCTCTGCGCCGAAATGGCACTTTGCATACTGGACAAGAAGAGACGGACTTCATTGATTCCACAATGCATGAGCTGAACATAGAAAACAATTTCATTAACCACAACCAAATAACTAGGGAGATGTTAAAGCTTTAGACGCATACTTGCAGAAGACATGATTGCAGGCAAGCGTAACTGCATCTTTCAGGAGGCTCAAGCTGCAAAAATGTCGAACAAACAATCAAATACATAGCCATTGTGGGAACTACTTAACTGTTTTCATATCCAACATGATGTTAAATGAGTCAAGATTGGTGGCCACACAAGTATTTTTATTTCAATGGGAAAATACATGATTCCCAAATGGGGATTGACAAAAACAATTAGTGCATTTTCTATTTGGAAAACTGGCTATCTTACATTAGTGAGCAAGATGAGATGAAAAATCATTCCAAAATGTGTATAGCAATATTTTATTAAAGATAAGTTCAACATAGTGAACTAAAAATTAAGTTTTCTTAATAAAAAAGCAAACTTTCAAAGATAGTTGAAACTGAATCTTAACCAGACGACACTTATGTAAACAAAATCAAGATCAGCAGTCTCATTTGAGCAGGTGAAAGAGGAGGATGAGGAATGAATCGAAGAAAAGGAGGAAGAAGGGGGTCATGCGTTACCAAATTGGGCACTTGAGCTCTCTTCCCATCTTTTCCAAGTGAGCAATGTCCATCATGTTCTCCCTGCGAGGAAACCCTCAGCTGGAGACGAAATAATCCAAAAGAACAGCAAAAAACGCAGCTATAACTCGGAGTTCGTCCACCTGAAACGAACCGATCGGTGGGGACAAAGAAGAAGATCAAGGAGAGAGGGCGAGATGCGAATGCCTGAAAGGTCTCTGCTTTCGATATCAAAATGGGAGAGAAGAGACCCAATTGAAGAAGGGGGCAAGAAATCTGTGAAATTTTAGCGGGAGTTTTCGCCCTATTACAAATTTACAAATTTGGGCGGTAAATCTCCCTCTTCCTCGGTTGGAGACTCGGTTCGCATTCGATTCGGAAGA